AAATGACATCAATTGTTGTAATCATTAAATTTTTTAAATAATTATTAATTTTGTTTTTTTTTTTTTCAAAATGTATTTAGTATAGTAAAATATTTCTGCATTCTATATTTTTTTCCTAAATTTTGTAATAAAATTTTTTTAAAAAATTTTCTTTATTTTTATGTTATTTAAAATGTTATAGCCATTATTAATATTATTGTATCATTAAATTTTATTTTAATACGAAAACAATCATTTTTAATTTTTTGTTTGTTTGTCAAGGTTTGCTGGACAAATCAACAAAAGAAGTTGCATAAATTTATCCAAAAACAAAAATAAAGAAAATATTTATACAAAGCCACCATTTTTTCATATGATCATAGATAATACGAGTATATAACTAATAAATATCATATGACTATAAATTTTTTTATTTCAAACTTTATGACAATTTCAAATTGTCTTCAAAACTTAAAGTTGCACTTCATCGAACATCAAGTTTGTGTACATAACGTATGTAGTTTAATTTTATAGTAATTTTTTTTTCAAATTTACTATTTTAGTATTAATGAAATCAAAAATTGTATAAAATACATATTTTTTACTTATTTATAAAAGAAGAATAAAATTTGAATGCAAAAACGAAAAATTATTCATTACTTTTTGATTATTCTCATATAAAAATGCTTAATAATCACAATATTTTATACTTTAATATCAACTTGGTATACTCAATTACCATATATTAACTGGCATTTGAAATATTTTTACTAAATATCAATGCAAATATCATCAAAATATTAAAGAAAATCATAATATAAAAAAGCATGCAAAGATGGACAAATGAAAGTTATTAACACATTTTTAACATCCGATTTGTATTAATTAAAATAAAACGAAAAAAATGGAAAATGAAAATTTAAACTTTACATTAATGTTCGTTGTTTTTAATTTGTATCTATATATATGTATGTAAATAAAATATACACAATATTTTGATCATTTATTTTTCAGTCGATTTTCTCATTTTCAATCTCGACCTTTAACTTAAATTTTTAAAGAATTAAAAAAAGTGGTTGATATAAATCTAGGCGTAATTTTTTGAGTGATATTAAATACTTATTATTAATGTATATAAGCTGAAAGAAAAAAAATAAAATTCGACCTGTACACACTTAAGTTGAGAAAAAAGTATAATATTGTTTATATGAATGCGTATATCGCACCTTGAGAGCAATAACACATTATTTCGAAATATAGTTTTAAATAAACATAGTGTTACGGCTCACGCAGACTAGCAATTTTTAGTTTTGCAATTGTTTAATTGCATGCAATCAAACTGTCAAACAGTTTGCGATTTTTTATAAACTGATTGCAATTTTTCGTTAACGCAATCGATTTGAATTCACGCAATAATTCAGTAGCTTTGGTGTGCATGCAACGATTTTACAATCAAGCAGTAACCGCAAAACTGAAAATTGCATGTCTGCGTGGTCAAGTTTGGGTGTTTTTGGTCTTTCAAACAGCAACATTTCGGCTTTAAATAGACCAACATACATTTCGGTTTTCTATCTTTTTTAAATAAAATTTAAACCAAAATACAAATTGCAGTTTTGAATACGAATTCACCAATAATTTAGATATTGCGTTATTGTAACGTTACTGTAGAAAAATCTTAAGAATGGGAGTTATTATTGTGATATTCTGGTTAACATTAGTTCGAAATAAAAATAATATATAATTCGTACTTTGAAGGCGTATGCCTAAATAAAAAACTGACTATTTTAACTTGTTCCGCTATTGCACTAAGGATGCAACATCGCGATAAATCACTGACATACTCGTATGTATATAAATAGATACATAATAAAGGTGCGAATATGTTCCATATTAGTGAAAAAGTATAAAAAGTGAATAGCGTATAACCGTTATTTTAATACTTAATTCGCGTTTCATTTTTTTAATTTTTCTACATTTTTTATATTTAGTTTAAATTGCAATGATTTTAATTTTTTCTTTCCACTCCATTTTCTTGATTGTGATTAGTTTTAAGTTTTATGTGATAATTTTTTGTATTTCCTTTTTTTGGTTTTTTTTTTAATTTTCACTTTTTTTCATTCAAAATAATGAAGAAATGTATAAAATGCGAATAATGAAATAATAAAATTATAAAAAAATGAAAATGTTGAATTCATTTACTTTTTTACAATTTTGGATTAATTTCATTAAGTGAATAAACTTAAAATGAAAAAAAGTAAAAGCGACAAAACAAATATCGTTGTAGATACGCGCGGCATTTTTTAACTACAATGACATTTTTAGTTTAAAGAAAATCGAGTTAGTAAATAAACCGCTTCATGTCAAAATAATGTGGTAGGTTTTCTTTTCCTGTTGTTTTTTGTTATTTTTTTAAATAAAGGATTTATAATATCATCAGTTATTACCATCATTATATTACATGTGTATATTTTAACACTATAATTTAAAGGAATTTTTTCTTATTTTGAATACTGGGTGTACAAGACTCAATTGTGCTCGAAAGCACTATAATTGGTGTAGATGATTGAAAGATAATATTGGATATTTCTCTTTTTTCACCCTATTTCACGATTTAACGAAAGTCCAATTTTTGTTTTCACTCTGATAATCGGCAAAGCTGATAATTTGAAAAATTATTCGACTGCTTTCTAATCCTTTTATTATTTATAATGACAAGTTAGTAGTAATTATTCTCTTATAAACAACTCCCCCTAACGACAATGGGTACCCAGTCAGACCATAAGTAGAAATATATGGCATAAATCACATACTTCCCAAAAATCATCGCTCTACAAAGCCAATTACATAAATAAAATTACTTTATAGTGCGAGAGAAAATAATTAAAAAATTAATTAAATTAGATCTACCATCGAATCTCTGGCACCCTGTATACGTATTACATACAATATTATATATGAATATATTATATGCATAATATGTTTATAATAATTACATATAAAAAGTTACATATGTATATAAAATGTGAAGTTATTTATTGTTTTATTTCATTTAAGAATTAAATCACATATTTATTGTTTAATAAAGTAAGATAAAAGGTAGTGTGAAATCATTTTTATTTCAATATATCAGGGGAATAGTAAACCGCAATCAAAATTAAATTAAATTGAAATTTATTGGTTAAAAAAAATATATTGAAATAAATTTGTAAGAGTTAATTTGATACAATACTTTTTTTTTGAAATTCGAAAATGAAATTTGAAATCTGGCGGTTAGTCAACTTTGTTTGAAAAAAGTTTTTGTTGCATGTTTCATAAACGCTTCAATGGAGTAATAGAAAGTAGAAATTGTAAAATATGGTGTATTTTATTTCTTGACATTAAATTATATATTTATAATATTCAAATTTATTAAATTAAATAAATTATTTAAATTTATTTAATTAAAATAAAATCAAATTTATTAATAATAAAAATTTTGCTATATTACAATAAATAAATATTAGTTCATATAATCATGATATCGATTGGAAAGAAACTTATTAGTCTTTAAGCAAAGCAACTATTCGGTATCGGGAATGCATTTTTGACATTTGAAAATCACTGTTTACTGATACAAAATGTGAGCAGGAGAATAAAAAGTCCGTATACTGTATTATGATTGTAATTTTTTTTATAATGTACTTAGGTCTAATAAAATTTTGAACTTTTTTAAGTTAAGTTTTTCTTTGAATGTTGATTTTACTTGTATGTAATACTACTTTCTATGCAGTAGAAATAAAAATCGGTACTAAAAGTTCGAAACCTTTAGGAATTTTAATTAAAGAATGACAAACAATTGACAGACCAAGTGATATGCAAATTGATATGGAAATATACAGACATATAGGCTGACATATTAGAAAAACAAAACCCTTGACTTATATACATTCTTAACAAACCCTTGCCTTATACACGTCGGCAATAAAAATTGAAATAATCAGAGCTAATTCTGGTCTAATTTCTGTAAGCTCGTCCTATTTGTTTCAAGAAAATCTTTCAGATAAATACAATTCAAATAACTTCACGAATTGTAATGGTGTCGATCTCTTAAGTTTAAATAGTAAACCTTTGTGTCAAACTTTATCAAATGAGTCAGATATATTGTCGAACATATTTGTTTTTCTTCTAACGCATTTTCCACAAAAAAATTTAATGGTTGATTTTTCATACACAAATTTTTTTACAAAATCGGAAACGTAACTTAAAGTTACATGTACATAAAATGAATGACATATTTATATGTTTTTCTGTCGTCTAATACGCGCTGCACAAATTTCATAGAATTTTATCGGTATTTAAAATATTAAAATTTACATATGAATTAGTCAGCAACATCATTAAAAAACTTATAAAACATTTATTAAACTCAAAGCAAGTAAGTACACACAATTTTTATATACATATGTACATATGCGCATTTATATGTCTATAAAAATTTAGTCGACATTCAACAATATTTGTTCATATACACGGGCTACGTATCATTCGATTACAAATAATTAAAAAAATAAAATTTCAACAACCGAAAGAACACAATTTATAAAAGTCTTATATAAGTGAGATTCCAATTTTTGCCCATTTAACAATTTTTCTTATTGAACTTGAAGATTAAGTAAAACAATAAGTAAAGAAATATATAATATATTTTATAGAATTACAAATTTGCTAAAGGTATATACATATATAATATATTTTATAGAATCATAAAACATACTATGATTAATAAGAAAACGAAATACACTTGCACACATAGGAAATTCATTTTTAAGTTTTTACAAGAGAGTTATGTGTGCATATTTGTTTTGTATATATATTATTTTATTTTTTTTAATTTTCTTTATCTCATTCAAAATAACAACAAAGTATTACTTATGATAGTACAAAGATATGATAAAGTCAATCATTAGTTGTACGACTGTAAGAATATTCTTTTGAACTGTAAGACAATCGGCTGATTATGTTTTATTATTGTTTTATTGCAGGAAGAGCAATTATCAACAAATAATCATGACTCAATTAAACAATTAGTATTAGACGCAGAAAATTTAATACGTGAAGATTGTATGAAAACTCCAACTAAAAAAACTTTTCAAAGAATAACAAAAACTCCAAGATTACAAAAAATACCGAAAACTCAAAAATCAACTGTTAAAAAGCGTGATCCTGGAATGGCAGGTTCAAATATTCAAAAAGTTCATGTAAGTACTTGAAAATTTAAACTGGTTATAATGCAATTAATGTAATTAATCTTAATTAATGTTGTTTTCTCTTTTAGGAATGGCTTGAACATCAGCCAATATCTCCCAAAAAAGAACAAAGAATTATTCTTATTCCAACAACAGATTGTGAGGCTTCAGGTGAAAATACAGAATCTGACACTGGTGGACCACATGAGTCGGATACCTCTGAAGGTTTAACAGATTCGATTGCAACTTGTATGCAAACTGGTAGTACATCTCAATGCACATCAACGGAAATAATTGGTGGTTCAGCTGAACCAATATTACCACACCAAAATGGCAGTAATTTAAGCTTAAACGGAAAAGTGATTCGTCGTACAATACAAAGTCGTCGAAACTCTGATCGTCCATGGTCTGTGTCTTGTTTATCTCAATTAACAGCAAACAGTAATAGTAATTCCAGTGTTATTAATACAATAAAAAAAGATGATGTACAAGCCGGACTAGCAAGTCACTCTATTAGCGAATCCGCTTTGCATGATTTATCATCACCGTCCCGCAATAGTATTATTACAAATAAAAATTCACCCAATCAAACGCCAGTAAAAAATTCTGACAGTAAAAATTCTTTAAAACGTAAAAAAATTAGGCGTCGTAAACCAAGTAGCAGCACCAAAAAATCTGATTCAGGTTCTGAAGGTTTGCAAGTTTACGATTTACCAAAATTAACCGAAAGTTTATTGAACACAGAAAAAATTTCAACAGAACAAATGACAATAATACAAGATTTGAGTGATGCACTTTCAATGATTCAATTACCGAAAAATATTTCTATTACTTCTAAGCAAAACTTGGATGAGAATCATGAAAGTGATGAAGATAGCCAACGTTTAATTAAACCCAATTTTAAAATTGGACCCTATACAAGCTCACATATGAATAATGAAGCAAAATTAGGATCATTAGCTGCACTAGCTAATTATATGAATGAAGACGGAGGTAAATTTAATTGTTTTGAATAATTTGATAAAATCATTTGTGTTTTACTCAAGAAATTTATTTTTCATAATTTTTAATTTTCACAAGCCGCAACGCCCAAAGCTATGAAAGGAATTAGTTAGTATTGAAGCTTTATAGCTTAGTTGAATTTTAACTTATTATTTTTCCTCAAAAATGAATAAAAAAAATTGGCTGTAAATATACTGCACAACCTAGAACAATAAATTTTTATATACGTAAATAATGTTAATATATACCTGTTACCCAAAAGTTTTCGAAAATTAAAAAAAATTATAGTTCTGTATTCCCGTAAATCTTTTATAAATTTATTTAATCAAATTAATTTATTTTTTTCATTTATTGTATATAAATTCTTGTTATTAATTTTAGAATGCAACACTGGAACAGATGAACACAATAGTAGTTTTTCCGAACAAGCATGGGATAATTATCAAGAAAAATATAATTCAGAAAATTATTCTGAGGGTTTTGATTCTGATGCGGCAAGAAGACTTTTAGAATTTGGGGATGATTATCGGTAAATACTACCATTTTGATTAAATATTTGGAAATTTATTACTATCAACCACGTATTTTAGTGCATTTTTGGACTCACAATCTGATTGCTGCTCTTCGCTTTCGGCTGCAAATAATTTAGATTCATTATCACCACCCCGCATGGATTCCTTGACGAATAACCACCCTTCCGAAATTAAACTTACGCAGGAAAATTTAGTTAGTTCAGTTGTTGATCATGCCAGGAGACGTCGTGCACTTGAATTAGAGTATGAAAGACGTCGACGTACTTTGGAAATGAAACGCAAAGTTTCTCAAGGTTTGTATACTCGGTTTTTATAGTGAAATATATCTCTAAATATGAGATATATTAAGAACGTTTAAACGCCAGATGTTCAATGTATGCCTGTATTAAATAATTAACCATTCAAAATCGTTTAAATCTTTTCTATCAAAAGCTTTTTTGGCCTTGCATTATTCAACTGTCTTATTCACGATTCTTTTAATACCAAATTAGTAATTAATAATTGTTCTATACATAAAATTTTATTTTTGTTTTAGATAATATTATTATGTTAAACAATAGCCCAAGTAGTACAGCAGCAAATAATACAACATCAACGGCAAGTGTGGTCACACCTAAAAATAGTGATTCAACTTTAAATCGAAGTTATACACGAAATACTGCAATCGAAGCTGCCAGTCGTCGTTTAGATTTTGATGCAATGACATCAACTTCAAGCAATGGTTTACCAATACAGCAACAAACTGGCAATTACTATAAAAAAAATTCAGAAAGTGATACATCTTTAAGAAGGCGTAAATATTCTGAAGATGGTATCCGCAGAAGATCTCGAAATTTAGAGAAACCACTTAAAGCTGCTGCATATTCAAGTGCATCATCATCTAATAATTCTGATTCTGAAGATGAAAAGGAAGTAAATAATTTAATACAGCAAAGTCGAAATCGCCTAGAGGATACAGAAGCTCTTAAGATTCGAAGCCACTTGCTTAGACCTGAAGATTATGTACGTTTTTTCTATATCATTATATATATATACTATCATATATGTTTGCACTTATTTTACATATTAAATATTTTGTATTATTTTTTAACTTCAGACCGAAATTGTAGCAACTTGCCGGGATAATATACATTGTTTAAATACCGTATTACATGGACCACCTGGAACAGTTTTATCTACTGGACAACAAAATCAAATACGAGGTAAGTTAGAACAAGATCCGGAAAATCAACCGCATCAGCAAATATGTTCAGTACAAGTATTACATATCGACTGCAAATGTGCCCCAATTACTAGATTTATAGCTAGAATAATAAATTTTTTATTGGATTGCGCAAATATTTTTAATAATTATCGATTATATAGGTTTTTCGCTCAAACAATAAGAATCTTATATGAATTGTGTAATAAGTCTTTAGGAATTTTAAAATATTTTTTATAAACTTTTGAAGTAATTAAAACTTTATATAAAGAAAAAGGTAATGAATTGAAAAGTTAATGTGATTCATATAGTGTATAATATAAATTTATGTTGAACTCGAAATAAAACTTAATTTAAACGAACAGGATTTACATTTAAGAACAATAATTTTTTTTAAATTAATGTCATCGAATGTTTATTTTAATTTTATTTTAACCTTGCCTTCACACAAATATTGCAAAAAAATTTTATTCCTCATCATATTGTTAATTTAAAGTTAGGAGTATGAAGTTAGGAGTATGAAGTATCTTTAAAATCTTTAATCATACTTCATACTCCTAACTTTATGAATCGCAGTAACTTTTAGAAAATATAAAATGACTAGTTTTTCTTTTTTTTTTAAATATGAATGAATTCTTAATAACAGATTTTTTACATAAATGTAAATATGACATTTATATGAATTATTTTAGAATTTATGTTACTTTATTATAATTACAATTTGCGCTTTTTTATGAAATTTGAAATAATTAAAGAACAATTTTGATACATAATAAAAATAAATTTGATTAAATTCAGAAAATTACAAAACAAAATCATGAAAAATTGTTTCACTTTCCAAATTTAAAAAAAAAACTTTTTTTTTAATTTTGCATTAATAAATTTTTATAATACATAAATGTATATTAAATGTAAAAATTTTGTTATAATATTAATGTATAATTAGTTTATTTCTTGTTAGGTGTACGAATATTTGATTTTGTATGTGATTGGCTGGAATTTTAAATTACATAAAATGTGGTTAAAATAATTATGAGCTTGATGAAAAATCATCAAGTACTTACATTCTTTTGTTTCCAAATTCTGGTATATTTTTATTCCTTACTAATATATTCTTTAAATAATTTTATTTTAGTCTAGTAAAAAATACTAACCAATTAAAACAAAAAAGTTGGTTTTTGAAAATTTAATCAAAGTTAATTTATAAGTGTCCTTCTTATTTTAATTTTTAACATTCTATCAATTCGTTTTTGAATGTTTTCCTTTTTAGTAAAATTAGTATTTGCGCAGTCTAATAATTAATTTACAATTATTGAATTATAACTTATTTAGTATTTAAATTTGTAAATTAATATTTTTATAACGTTTTTAAAACAGTAGTTAATTTTTTCACAAAAGAACTTGATGGGAACATTAGCATGAAATATGTACATATATGTATATGTATTATTGTTAATTTTTTTTTTGTTATATAAATATTTGTGCGTGTACATTTTATAGTAACTATTTCAATTTTATATGAAAGATTTACCTTGTTGTCTTTATTACTTTGAAAACCTGATGAAATTTAATACCCTAAACTGAACATACGATTCTTCGTTATCATTTTTAAACAGCATAAACTTGTGTTGAATATTGGCTCGCTGTAAACTGCAGCTCGCAGAAATGGAGTTAGTAATAATAACTGAAAAAAATAAAAATACAGCACAAAAACTACAAACTGCATTGTAATCTCCAATTTTTTTCAAATTCTCCGGAACCCTTCATAAAAAATAAAATTTTAACTTTCTCAAATTCTGAATGTTGTTCACAACATAATGTGCACACGCATATTGAACATTTCACACTCGTCACTTCTTTTCTTCAAATTTCGGTTTCTAAAAATATCAATACTTAGATATAAATTTTAAATATTAAAAACCTAAATAGAATTTATTCGAGATGTTGGATGTTGTCAAAAATGTCAAAATGAATTCATTGATATCAAAATTGTATGAACTATTCTAGTCTATCATAAATTTATATTAAATTTTAAAACCAAGAATAATAATTGTATAAAAATTTCATTTCGTAACAGGAGTCTTTAAAATGTTAATTGTATACACTTCGTTCTCTTTTCATGCGGTTTTAGAAAAAAAAAGTTTATTCTAATTTCGAAAATTTAAATTTTTTGCTGATTCACCTTTTCTGAAAACGAATAAGAATACTCCACTGGACGAAAAATTACTTCGGGAAGGCCTACAACTTTTCGGTAAATTGGAAAATTTTTTTATTTAAAATGATAATGATGTAGAACGCGTCTTAAAATTCGAACGTAATCTGAAATTTGGTATGTCTGGCTACAGAGAACTCTACAAAGAACTAGTTAAGCCATCACAGTTTTATTACTGACTACCTTATCAAAGAAAAAAAAATCACTGAAGTTCCTGAAGAAGCATTACCATGTAGATCTGACGACGTAATTTTATCTTAAAGTGATGAAAGTGATCTTGCACCAATCCCCAAACGGTTTCGCACATTATCAGACAGCGAATAATGAATTATGATTTTAAATGAAGTTTTGTTCATGTTTTTTACATGTTAAGTTTTGTTTTTGTTATTAACATACATATATATGTGCCATTTATTAAAATATGATGAAAAAAATTTAAATATAAGAATAGTATATAATATTATAAATTCTAGCAATAATTATTAATTCGTTTAAAAAAGTAAACTAGTTCAACAAAAGTTTCACTATAAGCTTGCATAAGTTTAGGATGAATGCAAAGAATATAATATTCTTTTGTTGTGTACAACAGTTGCTTTTCACTGAAGAAAAATGAAATTTGAGAAACGCTAGATTAATATAAAATTTTTATAAAAGTATTTTAAAAAATTGCATAAATGTCGGAGTAAATATTATTGGAGTTTTAATTTTAAAATTAATCAATTTAGATGTTTATATTGAATTCGTTATTGCTGTCGGTATGTATATTTATATGACATTCTATTGCACCCTATTTATGGATATTTATTTCGTGCTAGAAAAATCAAACAAAATACAATTGTGAAGGTTGGTGAAGCACAATCTGAAATTTCAGCTCAAGTAAGCTGATTCTAAAAGAAATTTAATAAGTTCTAAGTACATTATGAAAATTTAATAATAAAATTCTAAGTATATTATGGCTTATGCAGAAATTATGGTTTTATAAGAAGTTTGAGTATATAGAAACCCGTTGGAGCCCGAAAAAACCCTGTGGGTTTTAGTAAGTGCTTTTAGAAGCACCTGCAATCTCGCACAAGTTGTCAAATGAATTTTTAATACATGTTCGTTTGATCCTTTAAAATCGATAATAACCTTTTACGTATAAACCAAGATTGCTTTTACGTAAATCAAGAGTATTTTGCAATTGTATCGAAAAAAAATTGGCTTGAACACATCGTTTTAAAAATATATAAATTACGTTATCTTTTGTCATTGCCGTGTACTGACAATATTTTACTCTTGGGGATTATGACAACATAGCTTTTTTAATCAAAAAATCACTCACGCTATTCGTACAAAATTTTATTCTTTAATACTAACTTGTTCAACTGTGTTCTAAGAATATCTTTATTCTACTCTTAACTTATTCTACTTCTTATTGTATATTCTATATAGAAATAGAATATTGATATGAAAACAGGTTTGGTTTTCCTAATTTAATTTTTTGTTTTTTTTTTTTTATTGTTTTCTGCTTCGAATATTTTTGCGCTTAATTTTTTAATGTTTAAAGTAATCATTCATATTAATTAACTAATTTGGGTAAAAAATAAAAAAATAACTACCATTATAATTAATTAAGTCAACCTTTCGTTTTGTATTTCAAGTCAATTTAGGAAAAAGACATGTAAATAAGAAAAATAAATTAGCTTTTTAAAAATTTTGAAATTAAAATTTTTTTATAAATTAAAAATTTTGCCTTTAATATTTAAATGTGAATACATAAAATAAATACCATTAGCATAAATTAAATAATTCTTCCAAAATCTATATTGGATTACTTATAATTTTTTGTTTAATATTCAATATTATTATTGTTAATTAGACAGGCTTCTCTTGAAAAAGACGATATTTTAAAATTATGAATTATTGGGTATGTCAAGTCGCTTTTTCATTAGTCTAATAACCATTCACTTATCACTTGTCAAAATCATTAAAATCATTAGTATTTATTTTTCTATATAGTGCATTTCGAAATCAATAACAGTCAATTCGTTTTGTTTAACGTAATGATTAATTGAATTAAATCGCATTCATGCTGTTTCATCTTACTTTCCTATTTTGTTTTCAATTATAATACTGAGTTTTTATAATAAAAACTCAACACTATCATCAACATATTAACAATACTACTACTTTTTGTTTGGTTTCCAAAGGCAATTAAATTGACTATTGAAACGCTGTACGGAAGCAAGCAAATATTTATGTGAAGTACTGAATTTTTTTTTTTAAATGAAGTATATGTAAGTTATCAATAAAATTTATAAAAGAATAAAATAGTTGGCTGTAAATTGAATGTAAAAATAACAAAAATTCACTTAAAATGATATTTTTGTGGTTACAAAGAGCAAAGTAATAGTTAGAAGAAGTAAGTATTGCTACTTTTGCAAGTTTTTTTGAACCTTAGGTAGGTGAAATGAGAAAATGTTCATAAAGTATAATATGAAGGAGTAAACATAATTATTTTTTATAACTTTAACGTGCTAATTAATTATTTATAGTTTTTTCTTTTTCTTAAGATTTTTGGATTTGAACAAGAAAATTTGGTTAAAAATCTTAATTTAGCTCTTTTTTCGTTGATTCTTAGACTTCTTAAAATTTATTGAATCATTTGTTTGAATTCGCTTTATTGAATAGAAGCTTTTAATGGCTTATAATATTGTTTTAGTAAATAAAATTATTTAAATGGCTACATAATCTAAGCTAAAAACCGGGTTTCGTACATTTGTTACCTTCTTTTTAGCTTATATTTTAAT